TCCTTGTTAGGCTTTGCTTTTGTGGCAACAAGTACCCTCACTGAGTCTGGACCACTTACCTCTTTTGTGTAACCATCCTGTGTATAGAACATGTTTTGGTACATAACACGTTAAGATTTACTATATGTAGGTGTGAAATTGGACGTAACAAATTGAAGTTGCAAGCCAAAAGGGAAAGCAAGAATTACCTGACATCTACCTTTCCCATTTTTCACAAAGCAAAGTGGATCTCTAAGTCCTTGTTGAACATGGCCACTATGCACCCCAGCTTTCTCTAGATTGAACTTAGGAACTCTTCGGCCATCAAAGAAAGGGTTAGAGCCATCAGATGCCCCATAAGGTTTGTTTGAAGTTATAACAGTTATGTTCATATACTTCATTTCAGAAAATTCATTTTCTCCATTATGGTTATTGGGTTTACTCATGGTTGAGACTGCTATACCAGCTGCGAAAGAGTCCCACATGAAATAACTCTGCCAACAATGAATTCGTATTAGACGAAGAGTAGTTACTTTACTTTAATAATTGGCACGCATGGCTTCATTAAGAAATTACCGAATAGAATTGGTCGTCAAACCAAGTATCACGAGCCATTTTCAAGGATTTGAAACAGTACTGTGCCTCGTATGTGTCTTGGCTCTTTTCAAATTCGTCAAAGAATTCTTTAGTGATAGGGATGTGTTTGTTGCATCCAGAGACAAGAGTGACAGGAATTCCAGAATGAATCACCTAAATATCCACATATTTTTTTATAATCAACTAAATAAAGTTTATATAATGCTCCTCCATAAATGATACCACTTCTAACTTATCTATAAAAAATGTTGAAATAATTGAGTTTTTATGGTCATAAATTTCTATCTGAGAATAATCTAAGTGTAAGTGTATGTTTTTATATGATTTTATACTATGTAAATATTAATAAAATTCATTGTATAAATTGATTTTATAAGATTAAATTAAATTTAAAGTATATTTCTTAGAAATAAAAGTCATAATAAAAACTTAAAAAAATGATGAAATAATGAAGCATAATATGTATCAAAGAGGACTACGAAATAAAATTTAGAATTATACAATATAAAATATTAATGACATAATAAATAAAAATATTTTGTTATACTGAACATATAAACGGCATATATGATCCTATCCAGTCCAAAAGACATAATTATGGATACGGTCCAATAACAAGACATCTCAAACTTACATATTATTTTGGACTATTATCACGTGTTATTATCAAATCTCAATAGTTAGCTCTTATTATTTTCTGAGTAAATATTGTTTTAACGTGTTGATCCTATAAATATAATTGTAACCCCTCATTTCATACTTGATATTTGATAACTATTCTCGTATAATAGATCCTATAAATATAACATTGGTCCGTTATGTGAGGTGTGGGTTGATGGATTTAAATGTTCAATCTGCCTCACTATCTCCTATCACTTCTAACTCTTAATTCAACTCCCCAATTCCATCTACAGGAGCTCCTTGTTAGGCTTTGCTTTTGTGGCAACAAGTACCCTCACTGAGTCTGGACCACTTACCTCTTTTGTGTAACCATCCTGTGTATAGAACATGTTTTGGTACATAACACGTTAAGATTTACTATATGTAGGTGTGAAATTGGACGTAACAAATTGAAGTTGCAAGCCAAAAGGGAAAGCAAGAATTACCTGACATCTACCTTTCCCATTTTTCACAAAGCAAAGTGGATCTCTAAGTCCTTGTTGAACATGGCCACTATGCACCCCACCTTTCTCTAGATTGAACTTAGGAACTCTTCGGCCATCAAAGAAAGGGTTAGAGCCATCAGATGCCCCATAAGGTTTGTTTGAAGTTATAACAGTTATGTTCATATACTTCATTTCAGTAAATTCATTTTCTCCATTATGGTTATTGGGTTTACTCATGGTTGAGACTGCTATACCAGCTGCGAAAGAGTCCCACATGAAATAACTCTGCCAACAATGAATTCGTATTAGACGAAGAGTAGTTACTTTACTTTAATAATTGGCACGCATGGCTTCATTAAGAAATTACCGAATAGAATTGGTCGTCAAACCAAGTATCACGAGCCATTTTCAAGGATTTGAAACAGTACTGTGCCTCGTATGTGTCTTGGCTCTTTTCAAATTCGTCAAAGAATTCTTTAGTGATAGGGATTGTGTTTGTTGCATCCAGAGGAACAAGAGTGACAGGAATTCCAGAATGAATCACCTAAATATCCACATATTTTTTTATAATCAACTAAATAAAGTTTATATAATGCTCCTCCATAAATGATACCACTTCTAACTTATCTATAAAAAATGTTGAAATAATTGAGTTTTTATGGTCATAAATTTCTATCTGAGAATAATCTAAGTGTAAGTGTATGTTTTTATATGATTTTATACTATGTAAATATTAATAAAATTCATTGTATAAATTGATTTTATAAGATTAAATTAAATTTAAAGTATATTTCTTAGAAATAAAAGTCATAATAAAAACTTAAAAAAATGATGAAATAATGAAGCATAATATGTATCAAAGAGGACTACGAAATAAAATTTAGAATTATACAATATAAAATATTAATGACATAATAAATAAAAATATTTTGTTATACTGAACATATAAACGGCATATATGATCCTATCCAGTCCAAAAGACATAATTATGGATACGGTCCAATAACAAGACATCTCAAACTTACATATTATTTTGGACTATTATCACGTGTTATTATCAAATCTCAATAGTTAGCTCTTATTATTTTCTGAGTAAATATTGTTTTAACGTGTTGATCCTATAAATATAATTGTAACCCCTCATTTCATACTTGATATTTGATAACTATTCTCGTATAATAGATCCTATAAATATAACATTGGTCCGTTATGTGAGGTGTGGGTTGATGGATTTAAATGTTCAATCTGCCTCACTATCTCCTATCACTTCTAACTCTTAATTCAACTCCCCAATTCCATCTACAGGAGCAAACTAACTGGAGAGTTATAGGAATTTAAGAGAAAAGACGCATGTTGATTAACGGGTTAGAGATGAGAAGATAGAAGTAACACTTCTGTCATCTCGTTGACGATAAAATTATATGGTAGATACTTAAAAGAAAATTAAATACATTTTAAACATTCAACAAAACGAAATTTTTTAATTGGAATTTATTAACAAATACATAAGTTTATAAAATACTAAGATTTGATTATGTCTTTTATATATAACTACCATTATTAATATTATTTTTTTCTTAAAACATGAAGGTACGTAATACTTCTTTTTCACTGGTAATTGTTATTTTTATCATTAGGGCAAATACTTTATTACTTACATAACCATACTAACTAGAATTTTCAATATAACAAATTTAATGAACTTACAAGAAGAATTCTAATTTTTATAATAAATAAATAAAAATGAGCATACAGAGTTAAAAGAAAAAGTAGCATATATAATGTTTGTATATATAGGCAACTTTGAAGAATACATTAATTACTAAAAGAGATTGTGTTAATGTTAAACAGTTTGAATGAAGAAGTGGTTTTATGAATATGGAAATGTGTATCAGACCTGGTATGCTGCAAAAGGATCTCCAAATATATTGAATTCTGCAAAAGGGTTATCAGTGAACATGTTCCCCCGATCACCGCACTGGCGAGGCACGCAGGAAGACGAAGCATTCTTAGGGCAACAACCTGTTGGACTGCTTGACCTTACGCCCCCACCCATTATATAGATACGCTCCACGTTCTTTTTCAGCTTTGGGTTATTCATTAGGAAGATTCCAATGTTCGTGTGTACTCCGATCACAAGCACTGTAATGGGACCAGAAGATATTTTCTCAATCAACACTTCCTGTGCGCTTGCTTGATGCATTGGACTGTATTTCCTTCTTCCCTAATTTCCTCATACAATTATCAACCAAATCTCTAAACACAATTAATCATGTTCTAAACATAATTAATCATTAAATAAGTACTATTTGAATTTTACACACCTGTGGTAGGAAAGCTTTCCTGATACCATGATTGGCATCAATGTCCAAACGCCCTCCAAGACCAATAGGAATGGCGCGCCTGTACCTGCAATCTCCCACCGTTGTCATTCCCTGCTTCAAGACGACAATCATCCTTAAAACAAATGCATTTAAATGTAATAGAAACATAAACTCAATCAAGATACAAGTATCTCGTACAATACCACACAAATATAAATATAGTAATACTATTACATACACAGTTTTTCTCTTTTTCTATAGTATCATCTGACTACATAGTTGAGCAGATTCTGACTTATCTATGTTATCCCTGTGAACAATATTCCTCGTATTTAGGGAAAAGTAAGGTTTGCAAAAGGTAAGAAACCTGTTCTATGATTGGAAGATATCCACCAACGTTGGGGAGTATGGTACCATCTGTTAGTATTCCGCCCTCACCGCCAACTCCAACTGCAACATCATCTCGTCCCATCATGTAAAGCAGATCGTAAATTTGATTAACAGCATGTCCAGCATTCGTCCAAGCATTTGCGCTGATGGTGATGCCCTAAAATTGTTTCCACCACACACACACACACAAAATAAATACCTTCATAAACAAATTATGATATTATTCCCCAACCATATTTTACCTTCTTACTTCCTTCAAGAGGGTATAATATAATCTTTCTTTTACTTTTCTGTTTATAAATTTTACATTTGAGTGTATATCACTTCTTTAATAGTTTTCTAGTAATAAATACGAATTTGTATGAACTAGGTTCACAAAAGAAAGAAACTTTTATTCAAAATATCTAGTAGTTTTACCAAAATGTCAATTAGTTTGAGTGATCAAACGCTACTTTATTTGGAATGGGTTCTCTTTGTTAGGAGTGGTTTACAATTTCCGAGGATACGTGGACATTATTTTGAGACCACGTTTGATAATTATTCCTAGAGTGTGATATCTTGACACCACTAAAACCAAAAAATATTTATATCATAATTTAAACTGTGATGTGTTGCATTGATTTGACAGAAGACTTACCTCCAGTTTAAACTGTGATGTGTTGAGTTTCATAAGGTAGAGAAGAGCAAATAAATCATCGGTGTCTACATCTGTATCCACCAGAATCCGATGAGGTTTTCCCTCCACAAAGCTTCCTGCAATCAGTAACACCACTGCTACTGCTAACCACATTCTCACCATCCTTCAAACTAACACTATACCTGCAATTCTTGAATTTGAAGAAGCAGAGTATCTCAGGAATGGCGTTTAAATGAGAGGTGATTTCATAGAGTATCGGATTTCAGAAATAAACTATACTTCCACGTGTTTGTTGGTACTTTAACTTTGACTGCACACGCCAAAAAGTAGCCATTGAAATTTCAAACTGGATGAAGTCGACAACTTGTACGCAAGTATCTGATAATCTCAAATCAACAAACTTTATTGTAACAGTCAAACAAAATTTTTCAACTGTTCCGCTGTTCACAATATGCTTCTCTAATTATTACTTTAATTAATCTTTTGATTAATTCGAGCATATCAATCAAATTCAACGATGTCCTACTGTGGTCACTGCTCACTAAACATTCATGTTCACAATTATTGATGTCTGTATACAATTTTTTCTTTAAAAACATTCATATTTGTCATAAATTTATTTGACTAGCAACTATATCTTATAGACTTTCCGGCATGCGTTAAACAAAGCCACTAGCTCTGATGTTTGTCTTTATGTTAGTGTTTTTTTTTTCACTCGTGCAGTACGGGATTTATTATAGTATATGTTAATGTCAACCTCCAATTTCGTTGCTGACTAAATAATATGTCTTTTTTATTTTATCTTATTTTGTCTTTTTATTATTTTTTTTCGTTTTATATTATTTGATTTTATTTTATTTTCTATATTAGTTTTTTTTTTAAAAAGAAAAAAAAGGAAAAAGGAAAAAAAAGAAAAAAAGGAAGAAAAAAAAAGAAAAAGAAAAAAAGAAAGAAAAAAAGAAAAAGAAAAAAAGAAAAAAAAAAGAAAAAAAGAAAAAAAAAGGAAAAAAAAAGAAAAAAGAAAAAAAAGAAAAAAAGAAAAGAAAAGGAAAAAAAAAAAGGGGGAAACAGGAGCACCAACAGATTCACATAACAGAAATCCATCTTCCTACCCAACGAATTTGATAGCCCATTTTCTTCTTCCTCGAATATCTCCTTCCCGATTCTCTATTTCGCTCCCATCCTCCTGCTTCTTCAACCATCACACCACACCCCATTTTCAAAGAAACGACAACCACCAAACTCGCCTCCCTGTCTATCTCTCCCTTCTTCCTCCTTCGGCTTTGATTTCTCTTTCCTCATTCACGATCCCAATTTCACTAGGGACTCATTTCCGATACGATTCTGAGCTTGCTAGATCCACGACAAGGTTTCGTTTCCCAGATTCTTTTGTAAAATATTCTTCCTCTGGCACAACTGTCTCCGCCACCTCCATACACATTCATCTATCACAACCATTCCAAGCTTTGCCGCCGGCAGTGCTTCAATGGCGGGATCTCAAATCGGAGTCAATTACAACCGTAGATCTCGTCGTTCCGGTTAGCGTTGGTGGTGCGACTTTCGCCAGCGGTTGGGAAGATGTCGTCGGTCTGGAAGAGAGCCGCGGCTACGAGGATCACAGCACCGTCTCCGCCATCAAAGCCTCCATAGACAAAATCCCCAACGATTTCCAGGTAAATGCAGATTTAGCATCGCGGTTTGTTGCGGACATTGACGCCGATAAGGTCGAGTTTAAGTTTAAGAAGGCAGAGTATTGCGAGGCCTGAAGTTAATACTGATCTTATTATCAGAATGAAGCCAAAAACACATCACTCTTCGTCTTCTCTCCCCAAACTCTCCGAAACCTGCCTTAACCATCCCACCAACCCATCCCAACACCCCAAAACACGAAAATATCCATAGTTTTGATTATAAAAAAAAACAGAGAACAAGTTGCAAGCCCGGTGGTGGTGTGAGCGGCGACTAGGGGCTCCATTGGCAGCGACACCGTAAATAGATAAATCCAACCAAGGGTTTGGTGTCGCGTTCATAGAAGAGGGAAACCCTCGCACAAAGAAGGGAGAATCTGGTGCTTGCGGAGGCGAGGGTTACAAATGGCGATATTGTCGACGACGATAGAGATACAGATGAGTGATTTTGAGGAATGTCTACATAGTAGAAGTGGGAACGGTGATGGAGAATGAGTGTTATATCAAAAGAAGGAGCTGTGGCGGTTCTTGGCAGAGGAAAGATAATGGTGGTGCTGCTGTCTTTCACTTACTTTCAAAAGATCCCTACCAGCAAGGGTTTGGGCCAACCCAATCTTTCGTGTACCATTGATTTCCTCTGATTGTTTGTTTGTTGCATTCTCAATTTTTGAAAAAAATAGCAAATGTTCAATAAAAAGCATAAAAATAAAAAACAAAAGAAAATGAAAAAATAAAATAAAATTACAAAACTATACGAAATAATATTAAAGCTTCTAATAATATACTTTTTAATATCTTCTTTTTAAATATCTTCTCTCTTGAATAGAAAGAGATAAAACTAAAATTATAAAAAAAATGGTTTCAGAGCTTCTGACGGTATCTTTCTTCTTGATAACTAAATATAGTTTTCAATTTGTTCTTGTTTTATTTTTCTTTAAATATTGTTTTTTTAAAATAAAAAAGATAAATTTAAAAATTATAGCTGTAATTTGGTTTTCTTAATATTGTTTTTTTATAAATAGATATATCTGTAATTTGTTTTCAATCTTTTAGACCTTTCTTCAAAAACACTTACTTAAATATTATTATTTTTTAAATAAATATTACTATTATTCTATATTATATAGATGCGATTACTGTTTTATAATCTTATTTTAAACATTTACGTAAATATTATTTTTATATAATAAAATTAAAAAATAAAGATAAAAAAGATAAAATTTAAAAATTTAAAAAAAAATATTTTCTAATATTTTAAATAATAGTACTCTTGCGACCGTCCTTAATACTTAATACTTAATACTTTTGATCTAAAAGTTAAATAATAAATTAAATAATGATATGAGTATTGGCGTGATGGTCCGTATCAATGGTATGAGCACTTGTGTGACCGTTCGTGTCATCATAGTGCCCAATACCTTTTCTCTCTCTTTTAAAAATAATAAAAAATAACAAAAGTAAAGTTTTAAAGTATAATGTCATTTTAAAGGAATGAGCACTCGTGTGACCGTCTGCGTCGACCTAATACTCGTTACCTTCTTTTCCAATCATGCTAAAAATAACAAAAAAAATATAAAATCTTCAAAAATTAGAAACATCTCCATTTTCAAACAACACAAACAATTAATGTGTCAGAACTATATGATCATTTATTCTCCATCAAGAGTGGTGATAGTAGGAGTAATGTCACTCTTTGTGGGGTTCACTTTTCAAAATATTTAAATTTATCCATAATTTTTTTTCAAACAAATTCCTAAACAAACTTCTCAAACAGATTTTCAAAAGAATTATCTAACCCTAATTTCAAATTTTGAATGAGAATACGTAGGACCAACCAAGGTTAATACTTGTTAGATCCAAAAAATTAAAAAAAATATATTTTGTTTCTTTATAGTGTCTTTATGTAGTGATAGTGAGGACAATGATGAAATGTAATTTTTGTTAGAACACAAACAAAGTCTGACATTAAATAAAAGAAGAGATGAACATGAATTTATATACACATAACATACTTTCATTGATAAAAGGTCTTTTGGAGTGATACCAAAAACAAATATGTGACAACTTGACCCAGAGATTATAAATATGAAAAATAATGCTTAATCATTTAAATAAAATTATTAAACTTAAAATAGCTGGATTAAGAGAATACAATTTTTTTAACTTACATATTTGCCATAAATTTATTATACTAGTGACTATATGTTATAGATATTTAATTCCTGATAAGAGAACTTTTTAAATGATGTCAAAAATAAATTCGTAAAATAAAATTATTAAACTTAATGTATCCGCAGGGGCCGGACGTCGTACGAAGGGACCCGGGAAGCCGGGCGCCGTACGGAAGGACCGTCCGGTTGTCCAATGACCGCCTACCTAAAGATATACCGGAGTCCACTCCGGAGTCCACGGCGACTTACGACAATACCTATACGCAATCGTAGAAGGCACGCCGGAGGCTCATGCGATTGAAGAGCCAGCCAAAGATTGAACCTAGACCCGGTATAAACTCTCCTAACCCTTTTGTAGCAGGGAGAAAGGCCTACCAACCGGGCCGAACCTCTTTATAAGAAAAACTTTGAAGAACTCACAAGGAATTCTACCATCACAGAGCAGCCCGGCACGACGGCCACTGCATCAAATCTTGTTTGTTAGGCGAATCTTGTTTGTTAGGT